GCTTTTGTGAATATGTACATTTTATGTGCTTGTTTGAATCATTATGTACATGTGTGGCTCACACATGACCTCTAACCCCTAAACTTGGTTCTTTTTATAGGGCAGAACCTAAACTGTTTGTAAGTTCTATCTTTTTTGACACACCTTTTTGCAGATTAACCAGTCAGTTTAGCAATCATTAAGGCCTGATTAATCGTTATTAATTGATTATTAAAATAATGAATTTACTAACTAATTTTGTAATCGTTAAAGGTTAAACGGAGTATAGACACTAAAACATGCCTTTAGCTGATAGAGCAACCCAATAAGAGCAGTAATTATATCAAAACTGTCAAAAAAATATATAAACATTTGATTTTAAGATAAAAATGTATTTTCGTATGTCAATATGATGTATCAGGAACTCCTGAAGTTGAAATATTTAATTTCCCTTGGTTACATTTCGTAAAAAATCATCTTTAAGGAACCGTTGACAAGCCGATTATTAATTGATTAATCAAAAAAACGTATTAATCGATCTGCAAAATAATTGTTAGTTGCAGCCCTACTTTCATTTAGATTCTTTGAAGTTCAGTTCCAATATTTGTAAACTGCGAACTAATCAGAGTTTAACAAATGCAATAATTCAGTCTGAAATGTTTGCGAAAAACAGGAAACATCTGATTGCAAATATAGTTGAAGACAAAGGAAACAACATAGCATTCTTAAGACAGTGTAAGTGTTACAGAGTAATGAGTGAAGATTGTTCCTAATCAAATAACACAAAGAAGGTTTGTGCAGGTTACTGTAACGGGCAGGGTTAATGTATCGCAAACATCTGTTTTTGTCTCTTTTTAAAGAAGGCTACTGGAAATTAGCATTTTTTTATGCTAGCTCCTAATAACTGATGTCATCCTGCTGCTGCATTCACAAAGATGCTTCAAATATATTAACTTGTCAGCTAGTCTTACGTTTGGGCTTGGCAGGTCTCCATTTGTCGGATTGTCCAAGGTGCTTCTCAACAGCTTGTCACCCAGGATGGAGATAAGGTACTGGGCCACGACCTCCTGCTGCTCCTCGCAGCAGTGGTTTTCCAGAGAGAGAATTAATGGGAAGGCGGACACCTGTCAGGAAGTAATCTCACCAGTGAGGGAGGATGAAAATCTTTGATTTGAACAAAAAGCAACCTGATTGTAGCCAACTGCGCTATAAAGGGTCTAAGGCAGGCATCCAAAGTCGGTCCTCGAGAGCCGCTGTCCTGCAGGTTTTAGAGGTTTCCCTGCTCCAGCACAGCTGATTTACATTGATATTTAAAAGGGAGTCTTTCCTCTCCGCTGTCACTACAAGCATGCTTAGTGTGAGGGATTGTATTTGAGTCAATGAGTCGATGCAATCAATTGGTTTTCCTTAGATAGAAAACTTGACTGGATGATCTGGTTGAACTGTAAAGTGTCTTGAGATGACTTGTGTTGTGAATTGGCGCTGTATAAATAAACTGAATTGAATCGAATAGTTGATGAACAGCTATGCTAAAGCAGAGAAACCTCTAAAACCTGCAGGACAGCGGCCCTCGAGGACAAACTATGGGGATGCCTGGTCTTAAGATTGAGCAATGCCTAAAATGCAATATAAAAGACAGTTTGCTAGCCTCGTGAGACCATCCTGACCTCGCGAGCTTTCAAGATTTCACTCGCTAATCAGTCTGGAGACTCTCCGTTGAAGAAAATTTGGAGCCGTTCACCAAACGAACGTCCAATCAGCGTTGGCTTTGAGGCGGGTTGAGGTGTGACGCAACGAGAAGTGCGACAGTTCAGTCTAAAGAACATGGCGGCTTCAGCCGATGAAACTAGCGTTAGCGTGGCTATCGAGCAAGTTTTATCGGAATTACAGAGTATTTCTTCACTGAAAGAAGAGCAAAACACTGCTCTGGAGGCTTTTCTCAGAGGAAAAGATGTTTTTGCTCTTCTCCCGACTCGTTTCGGAAAGAGTAGCCTAGCTTCTGGTTGTGTTTTCGTCGTCGCTAGTACGTCATATGCTTCATTGATCTGATTGGTTTATTTGGCCCATCTATCACCAACATAGGCTAATCAGCTAACCAGTATTTTCGCCCCTTCCCAAAATTACTTCAACGGAAGGCATCCAGATGGATATGCGGAGCAAATCCAGCAAATCCATCTGGCGGAGTCAGGTTAACAGTTTGCAGCCAAAATATTTCTGTCAGAGAAGTTGCTAAATGCACCCATTGCATGTCTATAGAGATTCCTGTCCTTGTAAAAGTATGAAAAAGAAGTCTTAATACTATTAACAGTAAATACAAGTAAAAAGTCGTAGCTGTTACCTCAAAGGCGTGTTGAGACACTATTTCGATGACCTCCTTAAAAAGTATCTTGGAGGTGAGGGTGTAACCATGGTAAACTACCGGTTCCATATCTAGACCATCCCAGCAGTCGATCTCCACACAGCGGCAGCCTTTCTTCAGAGCGCTGGAACACACACAGGCACAAACATGCAGCTCAGGCTGGCTCATGGTAATCATAAACTCGTCTATTCTCTTCCCATTCAGACACTCTCACTCATCTATTTCTGTGTTTGATGATGCCATAGATGCATACTACTTCTGCTGAGTATGTTTAAAGTTTTATGGAAAACAGCTTTCTGCCTGAGCTAGATAATAATGATGTCACTTTAAATTGTTATGGATTTGATATATTTTTTGGCACCATGGTGCAGAGTTATCTCTATTTATCCAGACTCTCTCTAGAGGAATTGCTTTTGCTTCTCTGTCAGTTTATTGCTTTCACTTATATCACCAACATAGGGTTTTTTTTCCCTCTTATAAAAAAGTTTCTCTTTTTTTTTAAGGGTGTCCTTATGGTGGTGAAGAAGGAGCTGAGATATACCGATCGATGTACGTTCCCACCCTCACCTATGGTCATGAGATCTAGGTAATGACCGAAAGGACAAGATTGCGAATACAAGCGGCCGGAATTTGTTTTCCCCTGAGGGTGGCTGGATGCACCCTTCGAGATCGGGTGAGGGTCTCAGTTACCCGGGAGGAGCTCAGAGTAGAGTCGTTGCTCCTCCACGTCGAAAAGAGCCAGCTGAGGTGGCTCGGACATCTGTTCCGGACGTCTCCTGGTCCCCTCGGGAGGTGTGCCAGGCATGTCCCATTGGGAGGAGGCCTCCTGGATGGCCTGGATGGATGAATGGATGGATGGACGGACGGATGGATGAATGGATGCCCTTTCTGCTTCCAAGACCCCCTCCTCATGGTAACCCTCATAATCTTTGTTTCCACCTGCATCCTTTTGCCCTTTTTAATTGTTTTTTTCTTTCTTCCAATTGTTATGCCATTGACGAAGCTCTGAAGTGTGATTATAAAGGATCAACTTCAGACCACCCCTTTCATTTAATCCCCAAAGATAAAGACCACCTGTTCCTATTGTTGATGTTGATTTTTCCACTTAAGTTCTCCAACAAACTTTCCCAAGATCTCATTTTATAACAGTAGTCATAACAGTCTATATAGTACATTGAATATAAAACGTGCTATTTCTTTACAAGGAAGGGTGGTGTTTATCTTTTGCATACAATCCAAATAAGATACACAGAAAGGCTAATGTGTATTTGTACTTTCCTCAGTGGGTATTTATACTTTGTCAAGTCAATGCAACTGAAAGCATAGAAACAATAGGGGAATTTAGGTTTGGCATCTTGCTGAGTTTCTAATCAATGGTTTCCTGCAGCTATAGTTCTGTTTGATATACATTTAGTTATCAGCCCAGAGCAGAGCTTGAAGGCTGGTGGGTTTCAATGGTTAGTTTCTACCAGCTGACCGGAGCATTCAGCCCCCAAGCAGAGTCCATTAATACTGAACTCTTGCTGCTGTCAGCTGCTCTGTAATCACTCTCATTGTGCCACACATGTATCCACAGCAGATTTTCTGTCTGCCTCAGCACATGAGTTGGTCAGTGAAATGAGAAGGACAGTATTCAGTATCCTGATACCCAGCGTGTAGCTCCACAAGGAGAGGATCGTCCTACTAAAAAAACACAGTAGATTTCAGTACTTTCAGGTACATTTTTTTCCCCCTGATTTTAACCATTTGTATAAGGAAATCCTAGATGCATCTCCCAAAAAAATCACATTAATACAAAGAGAAAAGAATCTTAAAAACAGATGCACTATAAACCCTCCCCTTACCTAACGTATCCATGAAGGTGGCTCTCCCCTACTAGCTGGCCTCTTGTCAGGTAGGTGTTGTGAGAGGACGAGATGAAGTAACTGCTGAGAGGTTGGTCCATGTCTTGGTAAACGGATGTATGAGCCTGGTCAAACACACAGCAGTCTTTGGACTCCATGTATCTGAAGAAGCCTTCAAAGGTCATGGACCTGCTTTCTATGGCTGAAAAAGGAGGAAGCAGCAGAGTGAACATTGTGTCAGAGAAAGTTAACAGGAGAGAGTTTCAGCTGCGAAGCCAAGCAGAACAAACATGTTTACTGTATGTAAAGAAGGTGCCAGGTTTGTAAACTGCTAATGAGTTGTTTTTTTTAAAGTCGTGGGGAAACGGCTTTTCCAAATGTTGCATTTCTGAATTCTCCCGAGTGGTGCACGACTTTACACAAGTAAATAAAATGAATGTGATCATTTATCAAGGGGTGGGATTGTTGCGGCAGAAGGTTGCAAGCAAGTTTGGTTCTGGCCGGTTTGTCGGAAGCATCTTGCTAACCAGTTAGCAACTTAGTGCTAGTAGGTTCCCAATGGGAAATTCCATTGGGACCAAGTAGCACTAAATTGGTGACTTAGGCTACGTTCACACTGCAGCCTGAAGTGACCCAATTCCGATTTTTTTGCCCATATGTGA